ATTTTATCCATTTTGTAGTTTTTTATTGGATAATTAGACAATATCAGTATTATTGACATGGTGTAACCGTTACACTCCAACCATTCACCCACCCAACAAATATTTAATGTAATGGTTACATTATGTCATCACGTGGTATTGTTGATCAATAATAAATAAACCAATAGAACAAATGAACTACGTTAATCTTATATTGTAGTTATTGAATAGGGAAGTTTTTTGTAGTTATAAAATTTAGTGGGATTCACTAGTCGTACATAGTCATTCATAATTGATCGATGACATTATATGTTAATGATGACATGATATCACTATTCCATTAAATATTTTCTCTCCTAATAGACACGCACACAAAATAGCAAAGGAAATTTAACTCTTTTTGTAAAAAAAAAAATTTCATTTTTTGTGCTTAAAATTTCATCATTATGAACACGACCAAATATAATGTCACCAGCGATCTCTTCGTGTAATGTATGAAATTAATGTTATCTCTTCACCACCTCCTCTATTCCCACTCTCACCGCCCATACAAAATTTATCAAGCACTCTCTTTTATAAATTGGTTCTTTTATACATAATATAAATGGGTAAGGCGAAATAGATTTTCATGTTTTTATAAATTTTCCCTTGATGAAGATGTAATGTACTATTAATATAACCAAAAAAAAAAAACAAAGGGCTTAAAATCCACCGATAGCCTATTAAATGCCATTTTATTTCATTCCTGGGTTGTATATTACTTGAAAGACAAACTCGAAATTTGGTAAACGATGATCTTTGTGCACCTTTATGTCTTTGCTAATTGCCATGTAAATGAAAGTGTATGAATTAACTAGTTTTTCTCTTCTTCAGATATCAGAGAGAAAGAGAGGCATTATGAATTCAGGTGCCCTATTTGCCCATATATCAATCTAAATAACAAAAATAGCGTTTCTATTAGTTTTACGCCAGTTTTTCTCATTAAAGTTGCAAAAAATTGCTCAAATATTTAGTTACAAGAAAACTTTCACAAAGGAGTTGAGAGAAGTCCAAAAATGACACAATAAAACTCTCTAAAAGGGGAACATAAAAACAATGGAGTTGATAAGAATCAATGCAAAAATCTTTTTGGATTCTTACGACTATATGATGTTGGTTAAAATATAAATATTTCTCTTTATGTGTGTTCATTAAAAAAAAAAAAAATCTCCGAATCCTTCATACATGATAATTAATATAACTCTTAAATTTCAATCCATCAATTACATTGATATTTTGAATCTTTCCAAAGTTAACCCTAATATTTTGCAAGTCGGACTAACTATTTGGGTAAAATAGAATTGAGCAATGATAGAGATTCCAAATTGTATTTCAAATCAAAATAGATGTTTAGATTAGTGAATTGTTTTTAATTTTTTCCAGTTGAACTCAATATTCAAACGTAAATCATGTACAAACATTACCATGTAGTTGTTAACAATGGCTGTTTTGTGCACGATACTTATAAATAAATAAATAAAAAAGAGCAAATCAAATTTCATATCAATAATGGGAAAAAAAAAATCAATAAATAACTAAATATTTTATTCTCTCAGATTGTATAGAGTAAAAACGAATCATTCCAATGACAACCACAAAATTCTCACAATCCAATCCATAGCAAAGCCATCTCTGTATCCAAACAAAGCCTGTGTTTTTTTTTTTTTTTCCTTATGAGAATTTCACTGCCTCGAGAGAGCGAGAGCAGAGAAGAGGACAGAGGTGCCAATCAGAACGCCGGAAATAGGCAGAGAATATGCAGCTCCAGAGTCCGGTGATGGATCCGGCGCCATCACGCTACCCTGCGCCGTGACAGTGACTGCGGCAATGACCAAGGCAACGAACACAAAGGCCTTGAGGATGCTAACTTGGGCCATTGGTGAACGGTACTACCACGAAGTTACAGAGAGTATCTGAATGAGTGGTTTCACAGAGAAACTTTGGGAGCCGAGATTTTTGTGAGAGAGACGACGAAGGCGGTGTGAATTTATAGGGGTTTTGTGTGTTGGGGGGGGGGGGGGGGGGCTGTGGACCCCACGAGAGAGTGGGAGGAGTTAGACTATTCACCAAACAGCTCATAGTGTGGTACATTGAATTCGAATTTGAATAAAGTACTTATCATCACTTAGTGCTGGTCCTTTGAATAAGAATTTAAATTTTTTTGTTTAAAATACTTGGATCAAGTAGATTATTTTTACACCTTAAATCTTTTTTTTTTTTTTTTGATATGTAATAATATAATAATATTATAAACGATCTAATCAATTTATTTAACAAAATAAAAAAAAATTCTTAAATAAATAACAGATTAAATACTCAAAAACTTATAGAATAAAGTAATAATTAAAATATAAATTAATTATTCAATATCTAGTTTATTATTTAATTTAATGATACATAATTTATGCCTATAAATATTATTTAAATTTGTTTCTCTTCGTACATTGCTAGTATCATAAATGTGTATAATTTTGTATTCATATGATACTGATCCGATCATAATCATATAAGATATTCATTAAACATAATGTAAAAAGCTTGAATTGCGAATTGAATAATCGAACAAAATATTAATTTTTATTTAAATAATTAAATTAATATTATAATTATATTATAATTAGAAGTCGATTCATTAACGAGACTAATAGAGAATGGTTTAAGAGGTGGTCGTAGAGGGTGATGGCGCCTGTGGCTGTGAGTGTTGGACACGTTGTAGGGCAAGGAAACTGTTTTCTTGCTTTAGTTGGGGGAGCAATTAGTGGTTTCATGAAACCCACTCATGAAACCTAAAGGGGGTAGGTTTCATACGGGGGTTAAAGAGTTTAATATATAAATGATATTTATATTCTCGTATATCTTATATATTTTATATATATAAGTAAATTGGTTAAGGGATGAAATAGTTGTTTATATATAAATATATTATCATAATAATCATATATCCCTGCGTATATTAAACATGAATATAGATAGCATTGAATGTTGAATTTTATCTTTTGATTAAATTCAAATTTAAACAAGTCAATCCAAACATCTCCTAAAAAATATACCAAACATGCCCTTGGAGAATGAACTCTATCGAAATAAGAGCAGATAGTTAAGTCATCCTAAGGAAGTCGAGATGGTTACAGGTGTTAGAGAAACTGCCAGGGATGAGAAGAACATAGATCATGTGTGAATGGGTGTGTATCCATGTGCTAATAATAACTAACAAATGGTCCAAAGCCAGAGAACATGGAATGCGCCGTATACAAACATGACAACATGGTCTGAGATCTTGGTTGGCCTAAGTTCACTGTTCCACCCACGTCGGCAGTCCCTTTCCCTTTGCCGGCCAGATCAGAGAAAATGTCTGGTGTTCATTTGCTTGCCTATGGATTTATTTTTTTTAGTCCAAGAGTGTTTAGATTAATTTTTGTACATTTCAATTATCGGAACTACAATATTCATGAAAAATAAATCTCTCAAAATCTAATCTTAAAATATTGTCAAAATTTAAATTCAAAACATCTAAATTTATATCTCGTATAACTATTGTGCAATCTGAATCTTTCCACTAAAAATCTAGGTCGTGTTTAGTTATCATCTCAAAAACAGTTTTTTGTTCTCAAAATTTCAAAAACATCCAAAATCTGTTTGTTTAGCATTTTTGTTCTCTAAATTTTGGAAAAAAAATAAGATTTGAGTCAAAGAAACAGAAAACAAGTATAACTTATTTTCAGAATTTTCTTTGAAAATTTTGGAAATAAGGAGAACAATTTTGGATCTTTATATATATATTTATTTATTTTTGTGTAAATCTAAAAATAAATTTTTTATATTTTTTTATTAATGTTTAAATTACTATTTAAATATATATTTAGGCTGTCCAAATAGATTTTACTATTTTCTGTATTGTAAAATTATTTTTGAAATCATCTAACCAAACAAGTTTTTTATCTCAAAAAATATCAATACCACTTTCTTAAAACTCTTTTCAAAAACTATTTTCGGATACTATTTTTTGAAACGCAAACCAAACAGGCCCCTAATTTCTTAAAGTTTGATCATTGTTAATCCTATTCTTTTTCCAACAAATAGTGATGGCCACTCTCGAAGGGTTCATATGTGATCCTGATTAAGCATGACATTGACAATTCTAGATATGATCTGCAAACTCGCCCTATCAAAAAAGAAAAAGCCAAATATTATAGACCAACATAAACATACTAAACACAACATAGTCAAAATATAAATAGATGGAATATAAGTTGATCCAATTTTGATAAGACCTTAATCCTGACACCTCATACCATGCTTCAAATTGCAGGTTTGGCATTGTTGTTATTGCAAGAGATATGGCACGTCTATGTTCTTGTTGTGTGAGAAAGATGACAGGTCTCTCACATCCTCGGACCTTCTGAAGTAGCATTCCTCTTGTTTGTCCAAAAAACCCATTTCTCGATTTGTGCGTCAACTTTGTGCAAAGTCCATACTAATCTTCTTTGTATCGTTTCAATTTTATCAAATGTCCCCGAAGGGACAATTGAAAACCCAACCAGACAAAAAATCAGACAAACTAAGATTGAAACAATCAGCTTGCATAACCACAAATGGTTCCATAGCAACCACCAATCTTGGCTATAAGCAAAACAATCATCAAATTACTATACTCTGGGAGAGGAACCAAAATGTAGGAAGAAATACAAATCAATCATATGATTTGGCACCCTCAACCCAGAGATAATAAATACAAAATAAAATCATACAAAAGATTGATTTTTATGCTTAATTTAGCATCAACAATAGACAAGTAGGAATATACAGTTGACACATTCCCGAATAGCAAGGATGCTGCCTCCACCAATTGCCTCCCTTGTGATGAACGCAACTTGTTCATAGAATGTGTAGTTTGCTTGTTCGGATGCCATACAAACCACAAACCTAAACTCACATGTATTCACCACATTTCACAACATGGAATGATAAACAACCAATCTCATTCAGTCTGCTCTGACCGGAAAGGCCTTCCCCAACTTAGAAGTAACGGTCTCAGATCCAGGGACAGTTTTCAAGTTTCCATTGTCAGACATGTAGTAGTAATTGTAGTTGATTCTAGTGACCAAATCTGCTAAATGAGGGAACTGCCCCACATTGAGCTTAAAAGATAGGACCTGCACAGGCAGACAAGAAAGAGATACTAAAATGTTCATGTCCAGATCTCGTGAAAAAAGATGCAAGTGTGCGAGTATGACAAGTGTATTCATTGTGTAGTTAAATTGGAATGCACACCTAGTGTTGCATATCATCACACTCATGCATGTACACAGTCTGCAGGAATGCACATCAGTTTTTAATATTGTTGCACCAATGCATGTATGCATTCTATATACAGCATATGCATGAGTCATGTAATTTTGGCAGAAGATGCACAAAGATAGTCAACACATGGGTGGATAGAAGACTACTCTCAGGAGGAAGGCTATGCAATCATCGAACTGCTTCTCTATCCGATCCACTTCCATTTCACATCTAGCCTTGATGGCGGAAACAGCTCCACCACTGCTTAGTGTCTGCTGTATGGAATAGAAGTCCAGAGCTAATCCAAGGATACTGTTGATCCGGCTAGCAATTAATGCCCACTGCAGGCAAAAGAGTCCCATCATACAGTAATCATAATCTTGTTTGTCACAAGAATCACCAACTTCAAAAAAAACTTTAAATGTTATCAAAAAAGCAAAGAAAACGGGAGAGTTACAAACCAGCTTGTCCGGAACAACAAAGCATTGTCGCTGGATTGATAATAAGTAGGCCTCATGCACTTCAATGACTTCATCCAATGATCCAGCTGCTGCCATACCTTCACAAAGTTCACACCATGCACTGTGATATACCTGCTTATCAAATCCTGGTCAGAGATGAAAAGTGTCCAGCCACCATTCACCACACTTATTATCCTACCATTTGAAATCTATAGTAGCTTGGAACAACAGAAGAACACTATTTAGAACTGACCAAAAGACTACGAGGTTGTGTTCAGTAACTTATAATTGGCTAATTTCGTGAAGCCTTATATAATGTCAACCTAATTAATGTTTATATAAATTGAAGTAAACTATCCTTGTATCAAAATGATGGCAACCGACCCATGTTGATTACATAAATTAGAGTTACATGAAAGTTGATACAAACCCATATCCTATTCCTTAGCTCTAGCAATTTCCCAATTATGGAAAATGGTAGAATTGGAACGACAAATAGCATTTATGGAGAGTAGCCCCTAATGGGAATACATTATCAAAAGTAGGACTTGACTGTCCTAATAGAAATGTGATACCACTTAGAGCATCTCCAATAGTACTCTCTATTTTAGGGAGTATCTTTTTTGAAATAGAGAGCATCTTTGATAAAATTTTAAAATAGAAAGTCAAATATTTTAGACAACTCCAATATGCTCTTTATTCTAGTAGAAAAATAGTCTTACAGCTAATAGCATTTAATAAGAAATGGACATGTGTCATCTTTTATTCAATAAAACTAGAATAGAGAGTGAGTTAGACTCTCTAAATGTAAGTTCTCTATTTTAACTAGTCTAAATAGAGAACCAATTAGAGCTTGATTTTTTATAACTGACACTTTAAAATAGAGAATTGAGTGAGAGTAAAGAGCCTATTAGAGATGCTTTTAATGGTTTTTTATAGAGAAAGGTAGAAATCATTGGCAATTTTCCTTCAAAGAATCTTCAATGAAGAGCAAGCCATGTGTTACCTAGTATTAATTATGACATCAAGCCATGGAGGCTTAAAGAATAAGCAATAAGGGTCTGGACTCTGGAAAGGCAGGAAAAGAACTGCTCCTGAATCTTGTACTGTTCAGTATGCCTCTTTTGGAGGCATATCTATTCACTTGTTTGCCTACAAATGTGCCCAAAACCTAGATGAAATCAGACTGCAGGTACCCCAGGTGGAAAGCCCCCCGCCCCCTCCAAAAACACTAAGAACACTGAGTAAGCCAAGTCAGATCCTTTTTTCAAATTTCCCAAACAGCTTTTACGACAAGAACGTTGACACATTAAGTAAAAGGTTGAGCTGCATGAGATGGCCAATATGGAGAAATAGATTGACATGAAACAACAGCAAAGGAAACTATGGAAGAAACAGGTAGATAGCATGATTAATCAACAAAAAAGAGACTCGCCATATGTGGTGTACAGGATGTGATCCCACAGATGCAAGATAGGCACAAATTAATTCAACACAAAAAATTCTTAAAGAAATAATTTTAGCACATTTCTCTTAATCTTTTACGGAAAAAATGGAAAACATGTATTGTAAGTCAGGAAATATTTACTCTGTCCATCACATATTGGTGAAAAGCATCCACAAAATGGAGTATTTTTTGCTCCACTAACCAGTGGTGCTTGCGACTGATTGTTGCAATGCCTCTATCCTGAAAGAGGTGCAGAAACAAGAATAAAGTATCATAAAAAAATCATAACAAATCAGAACACTCACACTTAGTAATAACAATGACACTATATAGACCGACTCTAAAACTTAGAGCTTTCCAAGATATATTACTATATCATACACTACAAAGACACAGCAGAAAAAACAGCAGGATGAACCACCTTCCACATCCACCTCCGAGCTTTATCCAGAACAAATTTTGCACGCTTGACCTTCAATAAGAAACTCATCACCTGCATGGAACACAGAAATTGGTTAAGAATAACTGATGGCACCTAGGATACAATAGAAGTGAAAAGAGCTACCTGGTTATACTTCTTAATTGCTTCTGTATTAGCAATAAGTTCGAGTGGCCAAGAGACCTATGACATGTAATAGACAAGATAAGATAAAAAGATCGGTGGAGAAAATGGAAAAGCACATATATAAGGGAGAAAGAAGGGGTGGAAAAAAGAACTACGCATACCAGCTGCACTGTTAACTAAAATAGAGAACAAATCATGCAAAACAATTAAGTACACCTTGTATGTGAACTTCAGTGACTCAAGCCCATCAATTCCAAAGATCTGCGCACGACTTTTCCGAGGCGTTGAGACAAGGATAGATGCATCATGTTGCTCATCACCACATAAACTATTATTTTTGCTGATAGAGACAACCAGCGAATCTGGTGCACTTAGCAGTATGCTGTCAGCAGAGTTCCTAATTGATTCCTGAGTAAAAAAAAGCGTAATTTTCATCAAGATATAAAGCTAAAGATAGGAGATGAAAAAAAAAAGCTCAAGAGAGGCAGAAAAAGGATAAATTATACGTGGACCCCTAACATTGTTTTATTACATGGACATCCCTGTGATTAAAGATATGATAATGAGACCACAATTATAAGATGATGATACTATTCCATAAAAAAACTATTTTACAAAATATTTTACCCTCAACTCTAACCAGTGAAAATTAAATAAATAAAACCACACCCAAATTTTTACCTAGGCCCATACTCAATATCCCTCCCCCTTCCCTGCCAAATTCCTCCCCCTTACCTGCCAAATCCCTCCCCCTTTCACCACATATGGAGCAAGTTTTGGTTGTGTAACAAAAAGGTTTAGAAGTAGGAAGAACCATTGTACAAGGAGTTTAACTATCTAGAAGGAGCTGGTTGTATATATGAAGAGAGCTTCTATCCCAAATCGGAAAATTAAGTACACCCAGTGTTGCTTTATATACTTGAGGAGCTACTCCAACCATTGCCAATTGATTTTTAGCTAGATACTCTAACATAGTATTAGAGTCAGGCCTTACGTGGTAGTGAATCAAGTCTCTCAACTAGTTAAATTTTTCGACATTCATGCTTGTTTGTTTTCCCCATGTATGAGCCCAAGTTCCATCTGAGAGAGGGTGTAAAGAAAATTTGTATCCCAATTTGGAAAATAAAGTACACCCAAGGTTGGTTTATATATTTGAGTAGTCACTCCACCCATTGTCAATTGGTTTAGGGTTACATACTATAACAGTATCCATTGTGGCCACCAAGTAGTCGTGTAATATACTAAAAAGAGGAGCCTTATTATAGGTATCATGCTCATAGTTTTATCTTCAACAAAGTTGTCATAGACAGCAAGATAAAATAGCACCGACAAGAAAATTGGGGTCACTCGTACAACTCTTTATCACTTTCTTCACGCACCACACAAACCCACAGACCACCAAACTCCACCACACAAATCCACAACCACCACACAAACCACCAAAAAATGTCCACTCTTCTCCAACAAAACATGTGCGCTCTCTGTCCAGGTTAGTGATCTTTACCTTTGGAACGCATGCAAGTTTTTGCAGGCTTGAAAGTTTTGGGAGGCTTGAAACTTTTGGCAATTTCCACACTAGATTTTATGGGCTTTCAAAGTTTGGGTGATTTGAAATAGACATTTGGTATTTTACAAATTGTTTGTAGGCATGGTGGTGTAGAAGTGGGCTTGTGCATTTGGTGGCGGTAATGATGGTCATGGAGGGTGGAAGTTGTGGAGTCACCTGTGGTGGAAAGCCTACTATTATGTACTGGGCTGAGTTTGGTTTGCTTGAAGCCAATGGCTAACCCATTTTTCAGTTTACATTTGTTCTCCTTCTCACCACTTCAATTTCTGGATGTCCTAATGTAGATTTCTAGTTGTCTTGGTGGTGGTTGCCAATGTGGTGGCAGCAATCAATGGCACTGTTATGAAACTCACGCCTGGGCGAAACGAACCCAGCTCGCCTGGCAAAGCCCAGACGAAGCGAGCTTCAATAAGGCGACCAAGGCGATCGCTTTGTCGCTTAAGAGCAAAGTGACGAGACAAGCATTTTATTGAAGTTTTTTAAGTTGTTTCATTTGTCTATTATGGGCTGTTAGATTGATCAATTGGATTAAAATTTTGATATGCTCATAACACCTAATTGCCTCTTGTCCCTATATACGTCTAACAACTAAACCTTAATCAAACCTGAATTTGCACTGAAGAACAAAGATCATTACCTTGCAACTTCAACAGGTATGTTCTTTTCTTCTTCTTTTTCTTTTGTGACAAACAATTTACTGAGTCATCAATTCAACTCTAAATTTGATTCCATTCCGAATTTGCATGTTGTTGCTGTTTCTTCTTATGACTTCAAAAACTTTGCTAGAACTCTGATTTTTTGGCCGGAACTTGTATGTCTCTGTTTTTATTCTAGTATGCATTATAGTTTGAAACTATGTTTATATTTATTAATTTTGTTGTTTTGTGTGTTTTTATTTTGTTGTTTTTATGTCTCTACTGTTTTATTTAGTTTGGATCACTGCTTTTTTTTTTTTGGTGCTTTGGGGTTGTATTTTCTGTTTTTATGTCTTTGCTTGTTTTTATACTATTCGCTTTGCTTTGATAAAACGCTTGCTTCACCTCCCTCTAGAGACTGGTTCGCTTTATGCAACAATGGTTGGTTGTCATGATGGCGATTATCGTGGTCATTGTTAATAAATTTGATTATTTTAATTCAATTGTATATATTTGTGTATTTCTTTACTAGAATAGGTTGGATGATTATAGAATTAAGTATGAAGGAATAATCAATTAGTAAATTATGTGATTAATAGTAAAATTGTAATTAATTAAATAAATTGAATAATTAATAATTATTATTATCAATAACATCTCTAACATACTATTTCAGGGCACTCGTGATCTTATAGGGATCTTTTCATGACATCAGCTTTGACCATCAGTCTTACCAACGTCTGTCACAAGGAGGAAGTCTAGATGTTATAGCTATCATATGTCAAGGGGTTTCACTGTTATTTCTCAAATCACTCTGTGCAATACAAACCAAATGTTAGGAGGTCCGCATGTAATTTCCCCCCCCCCCCCCCAAAAAAAAAAAAAGAAAACAAGGAGCGCCATGAGCATATGCAGCTAATAATATTATGCATACCAAAGTGTTGGCAGTTGACACATTTTCTATGTAAAGATAATAGGAATAAATTGAACATAAGAGCCAACGAGAGATCCAATTGAATTTTCAGTCTCTTGCGGTAACAAGTGTCTTACATGGATGCCAAGTATTATGATCCCCAGCTCAAGAAAAAAGGACATCTGGATGTCCCATGAATGTCAACCAACCTGATTGGTAGTCAAAGGAACCAATATTTTCAATGACTTTACACAATTTAATTGTACCTTTAACCTCATCCATATTGTTGATTATGTTTCTTTTTTTTTTTTGTGTTGTCTATATCCTGTGCAAAAACCCAGCAAGATAACTCAACCTTCATAGGGGAACATATGAACATATCAGATATGGAGGAGCATCTCAGCCTTGTTGAACGTCACATCTCTAGACATGCCAGCTACACTTATATTTATTCTCCACAAATCTTTAGAATATATCAATTATGGCTGACAACTTAAAATTAAAGTAATATTCAAGTGCACAAGATCAGACGAGATGAGATCAAAATAGAATGGAAACAAGGTGGGGGTACTTCTCAATAAAAGGAAGAAATGGACACAGTGAGGAAACAAAGAGAAGGAAAAATAAATAGTATTTAATAAACAAAGTTGCTCTAAACACAAATTCCAACATTTGGTAGCAAATCAACTTGCTTGTTTTGAAAAGAAAATGATCACCAATTGGATTGCAGAGCACCAGTTGTATTTCATCTATGTATCGTTAATTACAGATTGCTCACCCCTACCTTAGAAAGATAATTTGAGAAACCGTCCTTCCCCCAGTGTGACAATTAAACTCTCACGAACACTAATTCTCAACACAGCAACACAATACAAGGGCACAGGATATGGGCCTAAATAGAATGGATAAACCAAAACCACAAAGAATATATAGCCTGCCACAGATTAGAGATAAGGCATTGAGTTGCGTAGATCAATTGCACCTGTAATATCATGTTCAACTCAAAATCATCATCCCAGGATTCTCCCTTGTCCAACTTATTAAAAACCACAGTCAAGAAGTGCTGCAGTAAATCACCTGGATACAGTAACATTGCAAACCTATCAGAGACACCATGCAAGATTTAAAAGTTCAGCATAGCTGGAATGCTCAAGATACCTGAACCTAACAGGAAAATAGCACGCAACACTCCCAGCTCATCCATCAATCTCCAGTCATAAAGTAACTTTGACAATATATTTCCACCAATTTTATCAACCTGCAGTGTCAATATAAAACATTTAATTGTGAATTTCAGTAGTATAGAAGATTATTAATAAACAAATAAATAATTCTGTTGAGGAATTTAATGAGCTCTATGCCTGCTTCTTGATGTAGACAATAAGGCATTCCTGTAGAATAACCACAGGAAGTAGAGTAGCTTTCAGCTCAACACTTTGAATCCAGCTAAGAATTCTTGAAGGAAGGGTGCTGTTCTTCTGAAATGGTAAAAACTCTGACATATGATGGTCCTCCTGTCCCATGATCACAAAGTTTCAGAATTTATGAAATCCTGGTTAACCTATAGCCATTATCCTGCCATTCAAACTTCATTATAGGAGTACCTGAAACGATGGAAGGAGAGTTGGAAATGGGAATAACCCTTCTAACATCTTTGTGTCCTCCTGTGAGCGAGCATATTCATATTCACCAAACTGAAAACCAAAAGTATAATTCGTTCCTTTATCTACCAGAAACGGTCCACTATCTCCACTGAAAATAGCCCTTCTCAAGCCCTCGTCATTTAAAGGGGGCAGATAAAAGTTTCTGGACAAGTTCAATGTGCTCCAAGCATCCTTATTCTCACAAAGTGATCTTTGGCAAACAGTCATAGATGGATTTTCTGGGCAGAATGATCTAACAAGGGGCACTTCAGTTGTAACAACAGTAGCAACATTCTCTCCCTTAGCATCAGTAAAATTGCTGGCATCCTTAGGCATAGATGTTAAATCAATCTCTCTGTTCCTAGAAAATGTATCAGCTAATAACTTATACCAAATCTTCTCAGAGCATGCTACGCCTGGCAAGCTCTCTCCAGTTACTTGTGGTTTTTGTTTTCCCACAGAAGAGTGAAACAAGGAAACAATTCTTTCATCTTCCCAAAAGCATTTGGAGATGTGATCACCATGGCCAACAAGAGCTACTACTGAGACACAAAAGATCTCTGACAAAGTAATCGCAGCTATGCTCTGCCCAATCTCTTGATTATCACCAAATACCGCTAAGCATGCTGAGGGAGCACGTCGACTCAGCTGCAAAGATTTTCCAGCAGAAATAATTGACTTAGCTATGTCCTTAATAAACAAAGGACAAACTTGAAGGTCTCTCTCATTCCGATCTTTTCTTTTTGCAGAAATTGAAACGGAAATGGACTCTCTTCCTGTTACATCCTTCTTATCATCTGTTAAAGGTTGAAGATCAGTGGTGTAAGCGACATCCAACTTCTGATACTGCGTTCGTCTCAAAAGATAGCTCTTCTCCCAGAACTCAGCCTCATCTATTCCAATTGCTTTGTTACCATAAAAGAACATCTACAAGGAGCATAAAGAGAAAACAATAAGGCTTTAAAGAGGACAATTGTTTCTTCAAAACGAGGTGGAGAGAGAGAGAGAGAGATCACTCAATCGACACTACAAAAAGAATTTTCAAAAATATAAATATTTCCATATATAATGTATAGGTGGACTAAATAATGCCAAAAAGAAGTGACTTATGACATTCAACAAATAAAGAGAAACCACCATACTTACAGCACCAGGGAACTTCATGGGTAATGTTTCTACACTGGATGGTCTCAGTCATCCATAATAAAAAGTTTATTCTGAGGTATCTTTAGGCTTAAGAGATGACCGGAATCGAGCTTTTAAATATAGTACAAACTACAAAGTTTTTCTTTTAAAAAAATTACCTCCTCAAAAGGATCATCAAGTGTTCCTTCAAAAAGCCAGGAATCAAAACCCTTTATATATGGCAATAAACTCCCAACAAATATATAAAGTAGCATCCTATATGCATCCTCCTGAAAAGCACATTGAGTCTTAAGATCAAATCACAAGACAACACAAAAAACAAATTGAGTTGTGGCTAAGAAAGTTTTACAACCTCGCCACCTTGCACAAGACAAACTTCGTTGAGCTTCTTATAAAGATAATCAAGAATATGTGTGGCAATGTCAGCAGCCAGGACCGGAGGATCAAGTTCAAAATAGACTTGAGGTATGGCTCCATACACTATTTGCAATAAAAATTCAGCTCCTGAGGAAATACTAAAGAGAAACATATATCACAAGAGGTTGTCATGGCGGGAGAAACCAATCAAAGACAAGATCAAATCCCAAAACATGCTTTGGACATAGACGTCACACAAAATCCAGGGGAGACCGGCTCACCAAAGATGTTGATTCGTGTCATGTTCATGGTGGAATACAAGATGTGCAATACGAAAACAAAATGAAATATTGTGCAGTTAAAGGATGTCTGATATGCAAAAGTGTCAGAGTAGCTGGCACTGAAAACAAAAGAGAAATGAAAATGAACGGAAAAAAATCAAGGGGGTAAGAAAAGGCGAAAAGAATGTCTTTGTTAAAGAAGGAAGAATGAAATTGTGTTGTGCAAATTAAAAAGGACCAAAGCATCTTCACTCCAATAATGAAGGCTCCTAAGATGGATACTGGAAAGTAGTACATTTCCATGAGCGACTAAGAAGGAAGAGAGAGAGAGAGAGAGAGAGAGAGAGAAATGTGATTATCTGCAAGAAATATTAAAAAAACATGACATGGTGCTCATTTTTGACAGCATTGCCAATATTCCCCCCACCCACCTGCAGATATCCAACAAAAATATTTCAACCGAGCTTTACAAACCTTGACAAGGAACTCCCCAGTCCCAAAAGGGTTGGAGCAGTTCGACCGTTGGAGTTGCTTATCTTTGTCTCCTCTTTCATAGCAATATTCCGTAACCTCTGGTCCAAAAACAAGTTAGTTTGATTAGAGACTACACAGCATACCACAAAACTTATGGTGGGATCAAAAAAAACAAGTTGATTTAACAGTATGGATAAGAACATACGCTAAGCCAAGCAGAAATAGAGCACACAAATGCTCTCAAAGTAGGTGGAGGTGATCTTGCAGAAGTCTCCACTTTATTGCAAACAATCTCTACGAGTTGTAAACATGTTGCAGCATACAGAAATTGATCCAGAACGAGATGAAGACTTGTCTGGGAAAGATGAGTTACATAAATCCTACTTATGGGACAGAACCTCTGTCCAATATTGTCCCAATAGAACAAAGAACTGGATAACCCTTGTAAAATTTGTAACACACCTCGCACCTGAAGCCAAAAAGTGTTAGAAAAAATGATTAATATGTTGAAATATATCAGCTTAAGACAACGGACTAATTCTAATGGTCAACTACACCGAGAAGTTAGCATACCAGGTCTACTTCATTGGTCCTCAAGGAAAATATTGGTGTTGCAAAATGTAAGCCACCAGAAAAGGAACTGTGGATCTTACTAATCAAACTATTAGAAACTTCCATGGCTGTCTCATTGGCTGAATAAAAAAAACAAAAAATGTTAGAGCAAGAAAAATATCAAAACAGCGTATTTGCCATCAAACATCTGTGAAGCCATGTATGAAAAAAGCTCAATATAACTGCAAAAGAGTTTGTACATTAAATGTACGGGTTTGAAGGTACCATGAAATAAAAAAAAATACCCAAAAAAGTCCCAATAAATTACTAATAGTAATATCTACATCTACCTCTCCTACAGCGAAAGATAATTATCTCATCAATGTTTCATCTAATTTCGATGCTCACCTCAATTTTGTATCACTAAAGATTCCATTAAGTAAAACAGTTAATCAAATGACTAACGATTCCTCTTTCTTGACAATCAATCATTCAGTGTACAAACAATTAACCTATTATGCAATACACAACTTCACCATTTCAATTTCAGTTTTCAAAAAACATTTAATTCCAATGAAACTGCACTAAAAACTTTGACAAATTTCATCTCCAATCCTAATGCATTTCGTTAGGTCCATGTAAGAAATTCCACTAATTTAACACTTGCTTGATGATGCAATAAGCACAAAACCCAAACTATACCTTTCAACATACTGGCATCAAAAACTTCAAAATTAAGCACCAATTTCAATAAATTCATCTACCCAGACAATTTCAATATCAGTCAATCAAAAAACAATTAAACCAAACTATGCACTTCCACAGTCTACATAGTAAAGAAGGTATCCAAAAAATTAGCTTTGGCAATGGTAACACAATGCTGGTAGAGACCTTTTTATCAAGCTGATCAATCTCACCAAACTTAAAAAAATACCTGTCTTTGATGATCTTTCACTGATTTAAAGGCAAATAAATTCCAACTATTCCATCTGTTTCACACAGAAAATTGGAATCAATAATCATAGATTATCGCAAATTGTAAATTGTAAACCTGTTAAAAAAAACAAATAAGTCATGCAAATATTCATAGACATATATAATTAAATTAACAGAATCGAACAAAATTTGAATAAATTTCTGCCTTTGGACCCAGAAACAAAAAAATCAAAGAAAACCAAAGGCTCAAAACCCATACAGTGCCCAGGCCACAACAACCAAACCCTACTCAGCATCCTAGGCTATCACCACTGAACCCCATGCAACACCGCCCCTCACAACACCAGAACACCCATCCAAACACCAAAAACCATCATTACTCCCTCTACGAACTCACACAGACACGCACACAAGTACACAACCACATCCACCACAAGCTAAAAGCCAAATCAATTACCTAATTCACCGCTAAACATCAAATTCGAGAAAGAAGCCCATTTTCTCACCCAATACTCAAACAGAATACACAAAAAATCTAAAAAATTACAAAGCCCAGTTGTGTTATGTGTGTTTTGTCGCGTGTGTGTTGTGGGTTGCGCGTGTGTTGTGAGAACAGAGGTGAGGCAGAAAAAGGGAAAGAGATGAAGACACAGAGAGAGAGATGGGGGGGGGGGGGGGGGGGGGGACTAAGAGAAGGAACCTAAACAGTGGGTTCCTCGGCCGGGTGTTGGTCAGTGGTGGGTCGCTGTAATTGCTCCATGGCATCAGTTGGGGCGAGGGAGGCAGAGAGAGAGCAGAGGATGTGGGGATTGGTGTCGAAGTTTTGGGAGATTTTTAACTTTGAGCAGATAAAAATTAAATTTGACAATCTCTAGGTGGTGAATTTTAATAAATATTAGAACTCACAATAAAATTAATGATTGAGATTATCAAATTTATTTTTTAAGTCCATGTAGCATTATTCTTTTAATTCTATGTATCATTGCTCTTTTTAACCTTGGCGGGATTAAATCTTTTGGGATGAACTCGTTGTTATTCGACGAAATTGGATGAAAATATCATCAATTTAAATTGTTCTTCTGTTTTTTTTAGGTTGAGGAATTCAAAATGAGTCTATTCCATTATCAAATATAATCGGATCGGACCAATTGGGTGGATCGTAAATCGGACCTTAAATTAGTCCGATTTATTAATTAGATTGCCCAAATAACGGTTCGATAGTCAGTCCAATGTACATTTAAACGTCTTGAATTCGAATTTTAATAATTCTTTAGAATCAGGGTATGAAAGATTTATATGTCATGACAAAAAAAATTAATGACAAATTTACCCTTTTAAATTAGATTAAATATCCACAATGTTAGAGCAACTCTAATGGCACTATCCAAAATAACTACGTAAAATATATTTAAATATTGTATTATCTATTTTAATTAATTACTTTTACAAATTTATTACAACCACGCTATCTATTATAACTAACTACTTCAATTAATTTTTAATAATATAATTAAAAATTATATTTTAACACTCATTTCAATCTCCGTTTTTGTGTTTGGTTGTCCACAAGTGAGCAACAAAGCTTTCAATGAAAAACTCAAGCAATTTCAAAACCTAGAAGTGCTCCACATTACTAGATTTTTTGTAGGGTTTTGCTAAATTTTTAGAGGGTTTTACTAGATTTTTGAGGAATTTTACTAGATTTTTGAGAGATTTTGTTAGATTTTTTGGAGGTTTTACTACTTCAGTTCTTGATCTTCTCAATCCAACCTCAGTTCGTGATTAAGAATCTGAGAACCATAGACTGTGAAGAGTTTCCAAGTTGAGACGATGAAGTTTCTGTGAGAAAAAGCCTAGTAGACGATGGAACTTCTATGATGAAGACGATGTTGAGCTTAGTGATGAAAACGAGACCTTCTGTTGAGAGAGCATTATGTGAACTGAGCTTGGTGATGAAGACGATGCCTTCTGTTGAGGAATAGCCAGCCACCATTGGTCGCCAAATCCAACGAGTAAATATTGCAGAATGGGTAATATCGAGTAAGATAGATAGTCCGTTGGAACAAAAATTTATGGATTGACTATCTAAAATAACTAACAAACCTCATTTCTCTATTCTGCTGGAGTTGCTCTTAGATCACTTGACGATTAACTCAAGTCAACAACCAATTGATGGATACCGCTATAGACGACAATAGCCTCCAACGCCACGGCCGACAATCCTCATCGTTGTTGGTAACTATCTCTTGCTTCAACGATGTTGACCATGATAGTGCGAAGGAAAGTTGCGAATGGATCTAAAACGATTTTATCAGCGAATGGATCACAATATAGAGTTACCTATTGAGCAAACAACAAGTGAGCTAAGACCACGATTAACAAATTTATCTATGATGGCATAAACTTTCTTCCTCACATCTTCCCTACTGTTGCAAGAGGACGATGTTCTAGTAGACATTTATAATATAAAATATAATAATTTTTGATAAATTCATCTGTTGGTCTCAAATAAACTCTTCTAACGATCATCAACATCTCTCTTAAATTTTCACCAACTACCCGTTGTCTCAAAAATTAGGCTTGTAATATACTTGAAGATAGAGCTGAGAAAGTTTATATTTGTTTTTTGTTTTCCTGAATGAATAGAATAATGTATCCCCTCTGGTGCACATTTTCATGAACTGGATCCAAATAGTTCACTATGATGTTTATACTCAAATGATGTTTAATGAAATAAATTAGAAATTTAATAACTTAAATTTTATTTCAAACTCAAGTTATTCAAACATAGCAAATGTTTTAATAATGATAGTCAACTTTTGATAAAAAAAATTTGGTGTTGAACAAATTAATCTATTTCAAATTTGAACATTGAAATTTGGATAGTGACAATGAAATTCACTATTTTTTGTCATTGTTATTATGGGTGTTACTTTGATCGTGTGACTGTCCGATTTTCTATAGAATTTTGATAGCGATTTTATGATTGTTATTATGACCATGTGACTATGGTCGTTAATGTAATCATGTGACTATGGTTGAATCGTGTTATTGTTATTGTGATCATGTTGTTGTCTATACTCCAACCACCACCACTTTGCTCTAGTCATGCCACCTTCCATAACACCTCCATCTCCAGTCATCGTCCTTTACACCTCAACCATATGGCTATTGTTGTTATTATAATCGTGTTATTGTGATAATGATTGTTGGTGTTATTGTTACTATCCATTTTGTAATATAATTATTTATGTCATTAAAGGTAAAAATATATACCTGCCTTTATTGACCTAAAAGTCCACAACTATTGACAAACCTCCAAAAAAGACATAAATGAAACATAAAATATAAAATAGAATTTGGGCCTAAAAATGATGCAAACAAACGATTTTGAATGCAATTTAAGTCTATTAATCAATTGGGCTTGGGCCGAAACAAATTGGAGGTCTAATAATGAGATTCAAGCCCACCCAATAACCGAATTGAAAGTCAATCGACATACAAAATCTGTTTTTGATTCGATTGTTCATGTAAAACGGTTCAGTTTGATTCGCCTTAATTTTCTACTTCTTAGTGTATTCGGTTCAGACGACGAAAAGTTGGCACTTCTGTCCATAAGGTCGGTTAAACACCCCTAAGTATCATATTATGATAAGTGAAATTGAATTTGGTCAACATCAAATCCAAATTAAATTCGAATTCAAATAAAGTTCTTATCAAAATATAATCATAGTACTCAACAAATTTTAGTTTTTATTATTCATATTTAAGTTCATTAAAAATAAAATTTTCAAGTAGATCAAGTCAACTTAATTTTAACCTAATACATCTAAATATTAATTCAATTGAGCAAATAATTTACTTAATATCATAAATGTGTATAATTTTGCATCATGTGATACAGATTGGATCGTAATCACATCAAATATTTGTTAAACAAAATATAAAAAATCAAATTATTGATTAAAATAATTAATTTATATTCGAATAATTAAATTCAAATTTAAATTATATTATAATGAGAATTCGATTCATTACAAGACTAGTGGAGAATGGCTTAACTCGCTTTCCATCGGGTTGTGCGCGGTGACGCCGCTTTTGGGCGTTAGACACGTTCTAAGCGCTCAATGGACCAAACTGGTCAGCTGGCGACGGAAGCTATTTAATTCCGACGCTTCAATAAGTTCATTCGATGATAATAAATAGATTTATTTAACGGTTATCAATATCTCTTTTAAAATTATTCACATTATATCGTGTCTTCTGACACGGATTACCCCTAATTAATCACAATTTACCACATTCTCATAACTAGGGTGTTAATTAAGACAAATTATTCGTGTTTGGCTCGAACTCGAGTCATGTTCTAAACGAACGAGTTTAAATATTTTTTTTTAAGTTTGTTAAAAAAAAAAATTTAACAGACTTGATTCAAACTCACAAAATTTGACTCATTTATATGTAAATAGTCGACCTACTCGGGCTCAATTTGAGTTCTAAACAAGGCGAAGTTGAATTTTTTAAATTCGTTTAAAAAGAACGAACTCGATAAACTCAAATTCAAACTCGCAAAACTTGACTCGATTAATACTCCCACCTATAACTACTACTCTGTATCAACTAATTGACTACACAGTATTTTTAGTCTTGTTAAAAACAATTATTTGTATCAACATCTAATTTATTGTACTTTTTCCAATACCCCACTAATGTGACGAAAGATGGAAAAGATAAGAAGAAAAACGATAATTTGTAAATTTCGCCCATTAGATGGGGCGGGACAGCTTGTTATATATACAGTGGATAACTTAATAATAATAAATAAATAAATAAAAAACGATCACTATAAAGGAGAAATGAAAAAAAAAAAAAAAACCAAAATGGATTTTAGTCATTTTTTTTTGCGGGAATTCTGGAGTCCAACATAATTCTATTTACTTGTTGGGGAAAAAAACATAATGCTGTTCACATTTTCTCCACAGATTTTGTATTTTATTTTTTTATGAAAAGGATTTTATTTTATTTTTATTTTTTTGTTGGGGGTGGGTGTGGGAAAGAGGAAGGTGGTAGGAATTGCATTTTTGTCCTAGAGCATTTTAGAGGGTTTAATTATATGAATAAAAGGTTTAAATCTCAGAGTTAGTAGTAGAAAACTTTAATTCTCGAAAAAAAAACTAAAATTAAATAAAAAAATATTTTTTTGTTTAAGACCAAAATAGTTAATTGGCTCAAATATGATTGAAAATTAACAAAAAAGGAGAGAATGAGAAAAATCCTTGTTTATAACTATGTTTACAATACTGTAACAATTTAATATTAATTGTTTTTGCAAGGCTGCTCAATTATTCAACATGATGGCAAATGGTTGCACGAACTTGTTTTAAACAATACGCTTAAAGCTCTAAATTAGGGCACAACTTTTTTATAAAATAAAATTTTCTTGACGCTCTTCTTGACAGAGAGGGTTATTGTCAATTGACTGGGAAGTGTAAGTTCTTGTGGTATGATCTCAAATCATTGAAAGTGTTAGAAAGAAAGCGTACAGGTTACCGGAGGATGAATAGGTACAAAGTAATTCCACCTGATATGCTATTTATGCATCTGCTACATCTTTTCTTCATTGCATTATTTTGTTTTCCATTCATTGTTATTCTCTCTTATTATATTACTCTCTTTTCTTCATTTTGTATTTGTTTCATGTTCTTCTTTTGATATAATTTTACTTTTTTTTTTTTTATCAATTTCTACAATATTTCTTCGACATCTCAGATAACTTATTAGAATGAATTCGCTCATCGTTAATCAAGTTCGATTC